CTAGGCAGATTTAAAATGCAATAAGCATCAAAAACACAGCAAAACCGCAATACATGCTTTTCTACAGTGTTTCCATTGAAGTCTATAGAACCAAAAATGCAACTTTTTGCATTAAAAAAAGTCCCTGACCCTTTCCAAAAAACGCACAGATGTGAAATCATGTTAAATGTTAAATGGACTGTACTATGTTTCTGCAAAAACGCTGCAGAAAATGCTTAGGTGTGAACCTAGGGTTAGGCTCGGTTCACACTGCAGTGACTTGGGATCCGACCTGTGAGACCCCAAGTCACATAACATGTGAAATCTTATGTTAGTCAATGAGAGCTGTCTTAATTAGCACTAATGAAGTCGCTCCGACTTTAGAAATGGTTCCTGTACTACTTCAAGGCGACTTCTATCCAGGGGCGGACTGACAACTCATGGGGCCCCCGGGCAATAGGGAATCATAGGGCCCTGTGTCCTTGCCCAAACTCAAAAAAGCCTATGAAAAAGGTACCGGGGGCATCTCATGGGGCCCCCTACTGACCCTGGGCCCTCGGGCAGTGCCCGAGTTTCCAAATGGTCAGTCCGCCCCTGCTTCTATCTGACTTGTGTCCCTATAGTTTCATAATTACTCTGGTTGAAAAAAGACAAAAGTCCATCCAGTTCAACTCTTAGAAAAAAAAAAAAAGTTATAATCCTATACCCACAGTTGATCCAGAGGAAGGAAAAAAAAAAGCAAAGCATGATCCAATTTGCTCCTGCACAGAAAAAACATTCCTTCCTGATCCCCCGAGAGGCAATCGGATATTCCCTGGATCAACTTTACCTAGAAAATGTTAGTATTCAGTTATATTATGTGTATCTAGGAAAGAATCCAGGCCTTTTTTTTTTTTTTAAAGCAATCCACTGAGCTGGCCAGAACCAACTCTTGAGGGAGTCTATTCCACATTTTCACAGCTCTTACTATGAAGAAACCTTTCCGTATTTGGAGATTACATTTCTTTTCCTCCAGATGTAAAGAGTGCCCCCTTGTCCTCTGTGATGATCTCAGGGTGAATAACACTACACCGAGTTCACTATATGGACCACTGATGTATTATACATGTTGATCATTTCTCCCCCCGAAGCCTGGTTTCACACTGATTTGGTCTGAAATTCGCAGCATCTTATGTGCGAATTCCGCACCGCATCAGAATCGCACCCCGTTCTTGCGAACTGCTGCGGGTGAGTATGTTAAGTTAACAACACCCCCAAAATCGGTCCGCAAAACACAGTGTGATGTGCAGAATCGGATCGCATAGGTGTGAATACTCATGTGATCTGATTCTAGTGCAGACCCAAAAAAAGAGTCGTGCACCTTTTTGGTGTGGATGAGGTGCGATTTGAACCATAGATTAATATATGGCTCAAATCTCACTGCACACAATTTGCATGGGATTTGCCCAGGAATGTGGTGCGGATCCTGTGAGAATCACATGCGATGTACCCAGGGCTGACTGACAACTCAAGTGGCCCCTGGGCAATAGGGGATCATGGGGCCCCTGTGTCCTTGCCCAAACTCAAAAAAAGCCTATAAAAAAGGTACCAGGGGCATCTCATGGGGCCCCCTACTGACCCCGGGCCCTCGGGCACTGCCCGAGTTTCCAAATGGTCAGTCCGCCCCTGAATGTACCGCACCACATGAATGTGAACCTAACTTTAATCTCCTCTTTTCAATGGAGAATAAATTCAGTTTCCTCTAATCTTTCCTCATAGCTGAGCTCCTCCATGCCTCTTATCAGTTCGGTTGCCCTTCTCTGCACTTTCTCCATATAGTTTAATAGAAGTCGCCTCAAGTCAGATCCTCATCTATATTGATGCAATTTGGATCCGACATTACAGGAATATTTCCCAGGCATTCCCTGAAAGTTGCCTCAAAGTTGCTTTAGAGTTGCTTCAGAGTCACTTCAAAGTAATAATCAAGTTGCCTGGCAAAGTTGCACTGCAAGTCGCATGACTAACAGGTAGCAGTAGTGTGAACCAAGACTTATTTTTAGAATAGATATTACTTTTCAATGTAACTTATCTCTCTATCTTGTGTCTGAATAATGTTTATAAACACTGTGTCAGTCAGTCTTTTTCCTGACAGCAGCTATCCCAGTATTTACACAGCAACTCCCGGCTGTTATTTTGATAGTCAGGGATTGCCAACAAATTTGGGGAAGGGAGTGTGGCAACTGAGTAGATGCATAGGATGCACTACACACTACCGTTGTACTTCAAAGGTTTAGGGGTTGATTTACTAAAGGGAAATAGACAGTTGCACTCTGCAAGAACATCTGCTCCAGAGCTTAGTAAATGAGCAGGAGCTATGCTGACTTCCATCATCCAATCACATGCAAGCAAAATGCTCTTTTTTATTTTCCCTGCATGTGATTGGGTATTCTTTGCAAAGTGAAGCTGTACTTCATTTACTAAGCTCTGGTGAAACTGCACTTGCAGAGTGCACAGTCTATTTGTCTTTAGTAAATCAATCCATTAGTGGCTACAAATGGTTATTATTATACAGGATTTATATAAGCTTCAACAGTTTGCTCAGCGCTTTACAATATAACGGGAGAGCTCCTCGGAGCTTACAATCTAAGAGGGAGGGGCTAGTGGTACAAAAGGTAGTAACTGTGGGGGATGGACAGTAGGAGGAGTAGAAGATTCCATAATAAGCTTAGGGCAGGATAGGCTTCCCTTAAGAGATAGGTTTTCAGAGATCGCCTAAAAGTGAGCAGAGTAGGCGATAGTCTGATAAATTGGGGTAGAGAGTTCCAGAGGATGGGGAAAGCTCTGGAGAAGTCCTGGAGACGAGCATGGGGAGGAGGAGACAAGGGAGCTAGAGAGCAGGAGGTCGTGGGAGGAGCGGAAAGTACGGTTTGGGTGATATTTGGAGACAAGATTGGTGATGTAATTTGGGGCAGAGTTATAAATGGCTTTATATGTTATTGTTAGTGTTTTGAATTTTATCCGTTGGGCAATGGGAAGCCAGTGGAGGGATTGGCAGAGAGGGGTGGCAGATAAAGAAGAACGATTAGTAAGGTGTACACAAAGCAGGAGCGAGGAGACATAGCAGTGCCCTGGTTCACACCTTGCTTTAGACTTCACAGAGATGTACATGTGAGATGGGGAAACAGCTATCATAGTGAATGAAATGTTTTGAAATGTTTTACTGACATTCCGCGATTTAGCCACAAGATGCCACTGTTTTTCTAACACAGCCTCAGACTGCATAGATATTTCTATATTTAGGAATGGGTGGGGTTTTACACATGGCAGCTCAGTGAACAGGAAGAGAGACTGCAGCCATGTTTTGATGATGGTAAAGGAAAAGAGCCATGTGAGCAGAGAATCCGTTGGCATCCAGGTGTGAGAACTGCAGCTAGTGAAGCTGATGGTGTTCAAGACGCTGATCCTGTTCAGAGAAAGGAAGATCACTGCCAGGAAGGCTGATGAGATCGCATGCTTGTTGGAGAAACATTTGTTCTGTTCTGAGTCACCAGCGGATGCAAGGCAGACCCGGGTCGGTAAGATCGTGCACGCACCTCATTTCAGTGTGGGCGCCTCCAGAGACTGAGACAGGCCTATAGTTAGTTAGGGTCTCTGTTTGTGTCAGGCTACAAGTGTTGTTACTGATCATTGGAAGGACTCCACAACTTAAAGTGACATTTCACATTGGAGAGCTGATAAAATCCCACAAACTCAAGCCAGACTGGCATTTTGCTCAGAAGGAATACTCAGGCACGTGCTACAGGACCAGTTATGGGGGGGAATACTGTAGATTTGTGTAAGATTGTAAGCTGTTGTGCTGCACCGCAGGCTAGCCCATACCATACACCCATACACTGATTCCTGCTCTCTTAGGGTAATAACAGGTAAGGTGTGGCAGCTTAGTTGGGCCCACCAGTAGGTAAATTACTTTGTTTTCTACTGTCATCCATCAGAAGGCGCCGTGCTGTGCAGCACAAGGGTCTCAGCCTTTGGGCTGGGTGTATGTAAATTTATTGTATGTTCCCAGAATTTGTGGTTGTGTTTATTTGCCACATCTAAGTAAAATTCTGTTGTGGCAAAAGCTGGTGTTGGGGTTGCCTTCCTCGTTCGTGACTTCACTGTATCCTGGGGAGTCCACCCCGGTACACGGCTTACATGCATACAGTATATAAGATATAAGTCCATAAGTATATTATATCGGTGATAAAATATTTTGGAATATTTAGCAAAACTGAGCCCTTGCATTGATTTTCATTAGACTCTACTCAGCCGTGGTATCTGCAGCCACTTCTCATAAATCTGCTTGTTGAGTCGTGACACAAAATAAATTCTTCTTAACTTGTTTGTTTTCTCTTGGCTTCTAAAAACAGTATTCATTATTTTTATGCCTTTTCTTCATTAGTATATTCATTTCACAAAATATGTGTGACAGAGTAAATTATAACATTGTTTAATGCAAACATATCTGGCGCGCTTATTGAGTGCATCCACACCATATATTTTGCTTTTCATTTAGCTAAGTGGCCGCTGTTAATAACCCCAGCTGCTGTGAACAGCGTATAACCCCTTGAGAAGAAATTTGCTTTTAATCATTTTCTGTGATTAATTTATGTTCATTATTGCGCTAATTTTTCCCTCACTGGTTGGTGTCCCTGTTGTGAATTTCCTTAATGAGCCTGAAATGGAAATTGTTTTCAAAACATAACTTTGCATCTTATAATATTATTGACAAAGAGTGGGCTTGCAAGAGGAGGTTAAAGATTCTTCATTTGTTGTAAATGAGGCAGAGCTAATGTAGGTGACTGTTTAAAGGGAGAAACCACTGGGTGAGTTTAGTCATCATTTGTTAAAGAAGAACTCTGGTATAAACAGCCATGTTTTTATCACTTCTAAAATCAGAGCTCTTCCGATCTGCAAATATAACAAGTTAATGTGTTCCTAAACCCAGGACCCTGCATCCACTATATCTGGTCTCCCGCAATACACACAACATGGAAATACAATAATGTTAGTAAATATAAATTGCTAAATACCTTTTCTTATCAGCAGTATATAGCAGTCTTGTGACTTCTATCAGGGGCGGACTGACAACTCATGGGGCCCCCGGGCAATAGGCGATCATGGGGCCCCTGTGTCCTTGCCCAAACTCAAAAAGGCCTATGAAAAAGGAACCAGGGGCATCTCATGGGGCCCCCTACTGACCCCCCGGGCAATAGGGGATCATGGGGCCCCTGTGTCCTTGCCCAAACTCAAAAAAACCTATGAAAAAGGTACCAGGGGCATCTCATGGGGCCCCCTACTGACCCCGGGCCTTCGGGCAGTGCCCGAGTTTCCAAATGGTCAGTCCACCCCTGACTTCTATTAATGTCCAGCTGAGCACTGGTTAATCTTGAAGGAGGAGTTTTCATTTTTCTCTAGGATGATGCAGAACCCCTAACCTCTGTCTGGACAGCGCTGATCAGCCCTGTGCTGATCACATGCACTCTCCTATGGAAAAAAATACCTCTCTAGCAAACTGAGCATGTGCAGAGTGTCTCCACACAATATGTCTTATCAGGAGATAAGAGGGGTGCAATGGAAGAAGGGTAAAATCAGAGAAGACAGGATCAAACAGCATTACACAATGCAGAGGATTAACCTCTTAGGTTCCACAGTGAGTATAACAAGCATGCCTTACTGCAGATGCAGACTGATTTTACTCTTGTGGGTTTAGTAACACTTTAAAGATGTTGTAAAGGCAAGTTATCAGGTTTTCGTAAATACGTTGTCAAATGTGTTGGCATGCACAATTGCTATTTGTAATTGTGAAAAAAAATGCTTTTTACATGAACCACTTCCAGTCCATAGGACATCATATGACGTCCTCGGGTTGAAGTGGTTATACCAGAATGAAATTTGCTGCCGGCAATTCCCTCTTCAGCAGAGCAATAATTTTAGCTGTAGACCTCCTGTGTAACTCTTAACTGGTAACCTGTAAAGGCTTTTAAAGAGTTGCCTATGGAAATTTTTAGGATTGTCGCCATTGCACACGCTTACACAATTTTAAAGCGTGACATGTTAGTTATCTATTTACTGGGCATAACATCATCTTTTATATTTTAACAAGAAATTTAGCTATTATATAGTTTTTGTATGAAGTAAAATTCATTAAAGTGTATTTTTTCCCAAAAAATTGCTTTTAAAAAATTTAACACCATTTTATTTTCTGGGGCCTCTGCTAAAAACATATATACTGTAATGCTCTGGGGTTCTAAGTAACTTTCTAGCAAGAAAATACTGATTTTAACATGCAGGAGAGAAATGTCAGAATCTGCCCAGTAGGCAAGGGGCTAATCAGCGCTTTATTGTGCAGGTCATGTGATTGCTTTCCCTTGCTTAGCAGATCACGGACCTGCGGGTGGACATTTCTAAAATGATAGGCTTTTGCATAATTTCCGGAAGTGACGTAAGGCACTGAGTATCAGCATTTCCAAGGAGATGAAATTCAAATACATGGGGCATAAAGCGGCTCCGGAACCTGCTGTCAACCAACAGCGGAAGGATGGGCAGGGCCATACACAGACCATGGAGATGCAGCCTTCCTGTGTCTGCGTACGGCATGATGGAAGACACAATCTGACCATGCTAGCATGGATTGGCTAGCGTGGTCAGTTTCCATCCTGGTGATGAAGAACTGGCAGAATCAGAATAATAAATGCACACAATAATATATTATTATAAAAAGCAGTGCTGAAATACATAAATAGACAGGATAGAATACATTTGATTTTTGTGTTTACAAACACTTTAAAGCCCAACCCGAGGAAACTTGAAAATTTAGCATGGTTGGGCTGTGACCACACTGCAAGGGTTAACTGCTCATCTACATTTGGGGCATAGAAAATAAGATTTATTTACCTGATCCCCACTCATTGGTGCTTCTAGACCAGTCCTCACAGCGTATTGTCCACCATCGATAATATAGAAGAAAGTGCAGCGCTAAAATATGATATCCAAATTGTAAAATCAATCACTAAATCCAACCAATAAAATATTCAATATAAAATATTCAATATAAAATCAAATTGGTAAAATCAAAAAATTCTAATGTAAATATTATAAAGTGACTCTCGTGCTTTGGTAACTCTGGGCCCGGTATCAGTGCAGTAGTGGTAAAGGTAATGCGCACTCACCGGACTCACATAATTATTGCGCCTTATGTTATAAATCCAGATGTCATCAGACAGGTATTAAGTGGATGGACTTCCCTCTCAGGGATGGTGGGTCGTCAGATTAGATGCTATGGGGTTGGTAAAGATGGTCCTCATCTTCTAAAGCTCCTCTTTTTTCCAACCTGAAGTAAGTCTCTGGACATGCAGATAAGCCCTCAGGGTATGGCAATCCGTCCTGGAGTGGTGGGTCTGCTGATTTAAAGAGCTCCCCCAGGGGGTAAGGACAAGGAAACTCCCATAGTGTAGTAGATATACACAGCTTCATTGTGATGCATCATAGAAATAAAACAGACAGGACTAACCATCTGATATTAAAGATGGCCAACGGAGCTCCAAGTTGCTCCGACGGCGCGACCCCCTCTGACGACGTGTGTGAGCACGATACGTGTCGGGAGGAGCCACATCACGCCGCGACGTCGCACCGCCGGAGCAACTTGGAGCTCCGTCAGCCATCTTTAATATGTGATTTGTATTCAAATCTGTAAATACATTTGATGTTTCTATTACCCCTCTCAAACTGACAATACTGCTCTCTGCTGTGCCTGGCTCATTCCTCCAAAGCCATGTCTCGCTGATACAGAAGGCTTGTTACTGGCCAGATCACCAAGTGAAAACAGAAGGAAAAAAGCCAAAGAAAAGAAAACTGATGCAGCCACATCTAATGATTGATAAACTGCATTTATTTTAATTATTTTATTTAAAATTTCTTAAACGTTATAAAAACAAACTTTCCATAACAAAATTTCAAAATAATGCACAACAAAAATTTTTCCACACAATAGTATATAACTCATTGAAAGAATAGCAATACTCATAATAATAATAATACATAGTCACACTATCCCTCAACTAACCAACTAACCAAACACTTTCACTCAACTCTTCCCCTCCACGTAGACAACAAACAACTATGGTTTTCCCTCCAGCGCTGTCCCTCCACAGTTGTTCCACACTCAGCCTAAAATATGAAAGAAACCATATAAGTGACACACCATACTCACTAATCATCAGTCACAATATACAAATATAATCATTATCCAAACTCACTCCCATAACACAATAAGAACTTTCCGCCTCCTCCATCCAAAATCCTATATTATATAAACACACTCATACCACCCATAACTTAAAGCACTTGTTTACAATATTCCTCCCACCTCCCCACTCCTCTCCCGATAGTCATGCGAAACCTCTGTCCACCCACACAATTTACATATACTGTACTTTAAATAATACCCCCACCTGCATCCAAAACATCTTTATTTACACGACTCCGACTCCCTCTATTCACTCAATTTCCATATTTTTTTACCTTCCTCAAGACCATGTCACAATAAGCATATATCCAAAGAACAAAGGTATACCGCTCAGGCAAACAATCAAGATCAATCCACAACAGGTGCAGGCTTTGGCTCGCCACCACACATGATGCAAGAGGAAGAAGGGTCAGCCGCACACTGGAGGATAGATGAATATAGTGTGTATTTAATTGATCCATAGGACACACAAAACACCAGGACATGAATACAGGACCGTTTAAAGCGTTTCACATGATCTCGTGCTTAATCATATCAAAGAAAACAACAAAAGTGCTGTCTTATATAAGTATTAGTTAATAAAGAACACCTATCCTAATCAGCACTCCTTTGTAGCAAAACATATAAAACCATTTTATCAAAAATAGTGATCTCAGAAAACAACAAGAAAGGAGGAAAAGAAAAAGGAAAGCTAAGTGGAATAAGTGTTTTGTGTGTCCTATGGATCAATAAATACACACTATATTCATCTATCCTCCGATGTGCAACTGACCCTTCTTCCTATTACAATAAGCATGTAGGTAAAGCCTTCCACAGATCATGGATATGCACTCTTTAACTCTCAATTCTTCTTTTAAAGAAATGAAAATATTACGCACATCCCACAGACTTTCTTTTACACAATTCATCAACATCCACAACACCCTTTCTTCCTCCCTCCCAAACATCTTTCTACCCCAGGCAAACCTCTAACCATGTTCCTCAAAGTCATCCACACCTTCTTTGTATATCCACACTCCCACAACACATGCTCCATGCTTTCCACTCTCCTACGCCCATCCCTCGGACATATCTAACTTTCAGCTAAACCTCTCCTTCTCTGAAACTCTCTGGTTGGCAAAACCCTATGCACTGACATCTATGCCACATCTTCCTGTCTATTCACCAACTCTCCATTCCTCCACATGTTCTTACTCTGAGACTCATTCAACCCACCTATCATTTCTAACTCCTCCCTACCTTTTTAATATGCCCATAACCTTCTTAATATCACACCACACATCCCTTGGTACCTCCTGTAACCCACACCTTCTCATATACCTTTCAATCTGCACATAAAACCAAGGAGCACAAAAACATACTGGCTTCCGCAAATCCAATTTTTACAGCTTGTACGTTCTCAAAACACTTCCCCTTGCTTATCTCAGCATACACCTCACCAAATTATCTCTTCTGGTAATTTTATACACATACTCACATACTCTATCACCAAAAACCGCTCAATATTCACCATACTTTTTCCTCCATTCATTCTTCCTTTCATCACTTTCTCTCTTTTCAGTTTCTCCATTCTTGACAACCACAAAACAGTAATACACACTCTTATCACTTTCTTCAATACACGACCGGGAGATAGGAACACAAAATACACATACAGCATTAAAGGCAGAAGCACTTGCCTAATTACCAAGGCCTTCCCCTCCAAAGTAAGAGTCTGCAAGGACCAAAAGTTAATCTTTTTGGCAACTTTTCCCCATTCCTTCTCCCAACTCTCCCTCCCAAATAATTTACTATTAAACCTCACACCTAACATTTTTATACTTGCACTACATATCTTCCATCCACTTCTTATCTACATCCTTCCATTCACCAAATAACTTGCATTTACTTTTATCCATATTTATCCCAAAACCACTTGCTAAACAAAAAATATTGATCAGCAATTTCACTCTCCTCAACCCCGCTATACTCTTACACACCACAGTCACGTCATCCATATATGCGATTACACTAAGACACTTTCCTCACTACCAGGTACCTTATAAAATTATCTTTTTATCAACATTTGTAACAAAGGTTTATTTACACATAGAAAACAATACAGGAGAC